AGGATTCGAATCCAGCTTGTCTGGGTCCAAAGGCTGGGGAGAGTGAGGAGAGAAAGGCTGCAGGTGGAGCCCTGGGGCCATGCTCATATTTCCTGGTGGTGGAGGGGCTGCAAAGTCATGGGAGGGGGCTGGTGAGCAAGCGAGAAGCAGAGTCTGACAGTGAGAAAGAGGAAGGTGAGAGAGAGGTCTGGGCTTCTGTGGGGAAGGAGGGGACGTCAGGAGTAGAGGGAAGGAGGAGCCAAGGGGCAGCAGAGAGTGTGAATGGCCAAGGCCTCGTGGTGCTGGAGGAAGTGAAGGGTCACCCAGACCCCGGTCAGTCGGGTGCTCTGCTCTGAGCAATCCCGGCATGGGTGGCTCCCTCCTCATTCCCCTGGAGACTCCAACGCAGCACCTCTGGGAAGGTGAGCAGGCCACCCTCTGCGCCCCACAGCCCATGCGCTCCCCTGTTCTAGCACTGAGTGCCCTGGGATGTGACTTAGAGTCGGGAGGCAGCATCCAGAGGCACAATTAAAGGCACCCTGTGTGTGTCTGCCAGGAGGGGTTGCAGGAGGTGGAGAGGGGAAGCACGGCCAGGCAGGAGGCTGGGCAAGGCTGGAAGGTGTTGGGCTTCTGAGGCACGGGATGTCCTTTCCAGATGGGACTGAGCTTGTCCCCAGCCTTGAGGGTGCCCAGCCCAGGCCTCTGGTTGATCCCAAGCCCTCTTCTTTGCCTGGTGCTGGGCTGTGACCTTAGATGCCCTTGCCCTTCCTGCTACAATGCTCAGTCTGAGCAGCATTGACTAGTGCCCACTCTGCCCACTGTCCATCCTCCACAGCCCCAGGACATCACTGACCTTTGACGTTGACCCTGAAGCGTCGGCTGTCTTGGCCACCAGATGTGGACACCCGGCACTCCCAGAGCCCACTGTCCCCGAGGGTCAAGCGGGGCACCTCGAACTCAGCTGTGGTCCTGTCTGGCTCCACAATGGCCTTGGTGGACTGAGAGAGACCGGGGAAGGGGACAGACCACAGACAATGTGCCCTATGTGGCAGAACCGCATGTGTCTGTCTGGATTGATGAGAGGACAGAAGCCAGGTGGCAGCCCCTCAACAATCAGCCCAACCCTATGTGAGCCATGGCCAGGTCAGTGGGTAGAGCCCATTGAAAGCCCTGAGGGGTCGGGGTTTGAGGGGTCAACTGTGGAGCTGGCGGGACGGGGCCCTGGGTTAGGGCTCACCGGGGCTCACCTGGAGGACGGTGCCATCTGGCTTGCGGAGCTCCATGCTGCCCCGGACAGGGAAGGGGTTCCCCGCGGCCGCACAGTTGATTCGGGGCATTGTCTCTAAGTTGAACTCCAGTTCTGAGGCCACATCAAGGATCTGGGGGATCCGGTCTGGGGAGAGAGAGGACACTCATCCCAGAGCCCCCACAGGGGCAGACACTGACCACCATCTGCCCAGTCACCCGAGTCTGAAAGCCAGCAAAGTCCCACGTGACCCTCCAGGGAGTCACCCGAGTCACTCCTCCCCACCTCTGATAGCCGCAGAGCCCACCTCCCGCACCCCGCCACCTCCTGACATCGTCTCATACTGCACCCAGGCCCCTCCCGAGCCTCACAGCTGGACACCGGGTCAGGCCTCCTTCGTTTCTGGGCCCTGCTACAGATCCCCCGGGGTCTCCTGCTTCCATTCTCCACTCAGCAGCTGGGGCCCTTTCTCAAACACACGTCTGACCACCTGTGCCTCTTCAACAATTCCCTACCACCTCTGTCATATTAAGTGCAGACTCTTTGGCCTGCCATTCAACGTTCCCAAGATCTGACCTCTTCTGACCACTTCCCCAGCCTTCCTCCACTCCACTGTCCTGGTACCTGAGCCTGGGTTCTCAACCCCTGGGCCTTTGCCTATGCTCTTTCCCCGGCCATCTCTCTCATCCTTCATATCCCATCTCAGACCTCACCGCTTCCCAGAAGGCCTCCCTGACCCTCTCAGACTGCTCAGGGGCCTCCTCTGGGCTCCCACACACTTGGGCTGCTGCCCACCCCTGGACGGATGGTGGGCTGAGTGGTGAGAACTCCTTCCAGACTTTGAGTACTAACAGGGAGACATGCCTGGTGAATGCTGACTTGTCTCGAGGGGGTCTCACAGCCCCTTGAGCTCATACCTGACTTCTCACAGTGTACTCCATGCCACCCCGAGGGGCAGACACAGCCGCTGAAGCGGTCACAAGTGCCGCCATTCTGACACTGGCACCGGAGGCGGCAATCGGCCCCAAAATGGCCAGGGGCACAGGCTGGGAACAGAGGAGGTGTGGTTACAGGGGCACAGGCCAGGGGGTAACAAGGGCACAGCTGGGGTCTGGGTAATGATAGGCTGGGTGGAGAGGGCACTGGTCAGGGGAACAGGGATCGTGGAGGGCTTGGTGTGTAAGTTCAGGCAGGAGCGAAGGGTCCAGATCAAGCTTGTGGCCCCGGTCTGGGTCAGGGACCATGGAGAGTGGGTTAGTCCATACCTTCCTGGCACTGGCTTCCTCTCCAGCCAGATCCACAAGAACAGCCGTAGGGGTCCGGGAGGCAGAAGGTGAGGCCCCGGCAGCCTGATGTGCCTGGGCACTGTTCTTGGCAGCTCTGCCCAAAACGGCCCTCTCTGCAGGCTAGAAAGAGGGCATGTGGGTGTGGGGCCTCTGTCGGACCCCAGGGTGTAGCAACTACCTGGTACTTTCACCCCCCAAGCTCCATCTCCATGGTTTGAGGGTCTTCCCCCAGCCAGGCATCCTCTCCTGCCTAGGTCCTCCTTACCCTGCTCACAGCGGGTGCCAGTGAATCCAGGGGGGCACACACACTCGCCGTCCTGGTCATGGCAGACACCTCCATGCAGGCAGCCTGGGCATTCCTTGGTACAGCCTGGGCCCCAGCGCCCAGCCTCACAGCCTGGAGGAATGTTCTTTCAGCAGCTGACCCTCACCCACCTGACCACTGCTGCTGAGGACTAGGGCAGCCCTGGGGGCCTAGGGGATCCAGGGGACCCACAGGAAGTGCCCACAGGGCTCCTCGTTTCCCATACCCCCACCACCTCTGCCCTCTGCCCCTGACCTCGCACGATGAGCCGAAAGAAGGCACTGCCCAGTGGGCTGGCTTCTAGGTAGGTAGCACTGTAAATGCCACTCGATGGTGGCTGCACATCTGGGAACCGCAGCAGGAACCGGCCATCCTGGGCCTCATGCCAGTCCAGGGTAGAGAAGTAGGATCCTGGGGGCATAAACAGGTCAGGGGCCTCAGCACCACATGAAAGCTGGCACTGCCCTCTGCCCACCTCTGCCACACCAATGTGCACTATGCATGGTGATCAGACTTGGGGGAAGGCACCAGTGAGTGTCTGTACCCAAGCCAGAAAGCCAGGAAGCATCCTCTTCTCCACGTTCCACCAACCACTGGGTAAACCATCAGGTCCTGTTCAGTCTACCTCTTCCTCATCTCCTAGAGCAGTCCGCTTCTTTCCATGCCCTCCGCCACCACACAGGTCCCAGCCTCCCGCAGTCTCCTAAGCAATCTCTGCCTCCAGTCTCCCCCTTTCCCATCCGTCCTCCATTCAGCAGGCAGTGTGATTTTTCTGTAACAGAGTCCTCTGCAGCTCCCCTCTTAAACCCTTCAACAGTTCTCCACTGGCCTTAGGACAACACCCAGCCCCTTGGCGCATCCTATCCATCTGTCTGGCCACTGCTCAGCCTGCTCTACACGTGCCCGACTCCTAACATTCCTGAATTCCCGAATTGCTTGTTTCTCTTCTAGAAACACCACGCTGTTCAGAGCTTCCTGCTTTTGCTCTTATTTATCCTGCTTCTGGAATGCCTTCCTTCCTTCTTTGTTTGGCTAATTCCCATTCCTCCTTCTGGGCACAGTTAGGGTGTCATCCACTGGGGGATTCCTCTCCCTCCAGAACATGCAGACCCTAATATTAGGGTCCCTGTCCTACCCCCTTCTTGCCTCTCTGCTCAGGACTGAACAGACTCAAGGGAGCCCAGGTCTACCTGACTCTCCACATCTCTTATCAATTTGTGGGGCCGGAGCCCAGGAGGCAAACCCCTTAGCCAAGAGAAGGGTCCTCCTCCCTCAGGAGCCAAGGGACACAAGAGGCAGCCCAAGGGCTGGGCGTCTGAGGGCTGCGGCAGGAATCTTGGGGCCACTCCCTCCCATGGGGTGGCCAGAGGGCCTGCAGGGCCGGGGCGGGGGCAGGCCTGGGCCGAGATCCCCAGGTCTGCCCAGGCACCCACATGTGAGTCTGGACAGATCTTTGGAAGATGTTAGACTTCCCCCGCCTGTGCTGGGACTTTGTCACCAGTTTTCTTCTTCCCCCTGGGGACTGCTGCTCCCTGCCAGGTGGGCTATATAACAGCACCTGCTAACTCCCAGGGGAGAGTCAAAGGTGAGGGTTTAACAGAGTGCTGACTTGGGGGTGACAGGGAAGGAGGTAGCTGACTGGGAGCTGCCGTTCCTCTGTGTGCAGTAGGAGGACAGCTCAGAGCTAGAGAGGAGATGGATGCACGTGCTTCCCAGGGTCCAGGGCAGAGGACAGGCCTGGAGGTGGGCCAGGGGGTAACAGGTGTGTCAGAGTCATGGGTGTGTAAAGGGCCAAAGCTGGGGGTGCTGAGGGTGATGGAGGGGTCAGGGTGTCAAACCTACAGGTTTATCTGCCCAACCAGCTCAGATGCCCCCTCACCGTTGCTCTTCCAGATCACATCCATCTGCTTCTCCTTGCGCACACGTGCGGACAGCACTGCCGTGTCGCCTTTGTTCACCGTGTGTGTGACCTTGTCCGGGTGCAGGTGGGCTGAGGGGTGGAGGCTGGGGTCAGAGGTGAAGGCAGCCCCTCCTCCCCCTCCTTACCCCCGGGCCAGACTCACCTCCGGGGCTGTTGTGCACGTAGACTACTGGCGTGCGCCGCGCCCCCGCGCCGCCCACGCAGGAGAAGACGCCTACGAGGTCGGAGGGTTGCGAGAAGCCGCGCAGCGTGACCTGGTGCGAGCCGTTGCGGGCCAGGTGCGGGGGCTGCCAGGGCGGGGGCGTGCGCACGATGCGGTCGTCTTTCTCCAGCAGCAGCGGGGCGCCCCAGGCGTCCGAGCCCCTGCCCACCCCGGCCTCCCCGGACACGCAGGTCAGAAAGAAACGCTGGGGCTCCGTGAGGCGCAGGTCGGCCAGCAGCGTCAGGTCCACGGCCGCACCTGGGGCGGGACACCAGAGCTCAGATCAGCTGGGGTCCCCAACCCCTCCCCGCTGCTCTCCCTCCACCCCTCCCCTCCCTCCCCCCCACCCCCTCCCCTCCCCCCCCCCCAGGCGCTGCACTTTATCAGGCGCTTCCACCCCCTCCCTTCCTCTCCTTTTCCCCTTCCCGGTGCGCTGGCCCCTTTCCCTCAAGCCTCTTCATCCTAGAAGAACAAAAACAAAAACAAAGCCCCTTCTCTGGCCTCCCAGTCCCCTCCCTTCTCCTGCCAGATGGCTTCCCTTTACAGCCCAGCTTTCGGAAAGAATGATCGATGCTCCGTCTCCGTTTCCTCGCTTTTTATTCCCCATCAGCCCCCTTGCTTGACCTGTCTCTTCCACTGCTCTGCAAAGGGGCTCCTCTCTCCCTGCCCCCCACCACGAGGGTGCGGGCTGGGAAGCCGTGGAGAAGAGACGGGTCTTGGAGGGACCCTTCCCTGTCACTCCAGAAACCTAGACATGTTTGTAGTGCTGGCATTTAAGGTGGGAGAGGCTGGCTTCTGGAGCCTGGTGGTTGTGGGGCAGAAAGGAAGGGAGCTCTGGGCCTAGTGAAAGGCCAGAAACAGGGCGGGCAGGCCTGGGGCGGGCAGGCCTGGGGCAGACACAGACTGGAGGTGGGCCTTACTCTTTGCCTTCCAAAGGGCTCTCTGCCTTGTTGGGGAGACAGACATGGCCATACCTGTCAAATGCAAGGCGCTAAGTGCAGTGGGGAGCACAGAGAAGGGGTGCCTAACCCAGCGTGAGGGAGGCAGGGATGAAGACAGGCCTCCTGGGAGACAAAGCTCCGGGGTCTTAAAGCTGAGCAGGACATGAGGGTGAGGAGAATGAGGATGGGGAAAGGTCAGTGGTAGGAAAGGGTATTCCAGGCAGAGGGAGCAGCCTGAGTAAAGGCATGGAGTGAAAAAGCCTATGGCGTGGACAGGGGGCTGTCCAGGCTCCGTGTGGTTGGAACACACGTGTGAGGCTGAGAGTCGGGAGAGACCAAGTGGAGCTGGAGTCTGGAGGCCAGGCCTGACCAGGGAGAGCCCGTGAGCCTTCTCAGCCCCAGGCCTCACACCCTCCTGGGCCCCTCCTTCTCTGTGTCTGCCTGCTGGCTGCCACTTAGCTTATCAATTCCTGTTCTTTCAAGGCCTACCGTGAGTCAAGCTGGGTTTGCTGACTGCCTATCCTGTGCTGAGCACCTGTTTTCCATTGGAGCCTCACACCCTCCAGTGAAGGTGATGTCTTTCCATTTACAGGCGAGGGTAATAACAATTATTCTTCAGGCCGCCTCCAGCCAGCTCATCCACTCCCTTGGCTTTAACTGCCAGCTCTGAGTCGGTGACCCTGGGACAGCCTCTCAGCTTGGGCCTGCATTTCCATCAGCTCTCCTCAAACCTGCCCCTCTCCGGTGCTCCCTGACTCACCCATCACCTGAGACACAAACTTTGGAGTCTTTCCTACTCCTCCTGTTGTAATAATTAATGTTTATTGGAGGCCAATTATATGCCAGGCACTTGACTTGTGTTCTCTCATTTTATCATCCCAACTATCCTAGGAGGTGGCTGTTATTACCTCAATTTTATAGCCAGTGAATGAAGACTCAAGAGAAGAAATTTGCCCAAGGTCATACCATTAGTAACTGGCAGAGCCAATTTGTCTCATTCTAAAGTCCGCACCTCTTAGCATTGTGCTGGCTGCCCCAATCCACCACAAAATTCTGCACATTCTGTTTCTTCAAAGCCTCTTGACTTCATCCCCATCTCCAGGCCCACCCTCCTTTAGCCCTCACCCTTACTCACCTGCACCATCCCAACAGCTTCACCCCTCCTTCCTCAACTCATCCTCCGAAGTGGATCACAACGTCTAAGACCTTGTGACTCTCTGGCCTACAGCCTCCTATGGCTCCCTATTGCCCTCAGGACACAGTGCCTGCTCTTGAGCCCTTTGCTGCTCTCACTCTGCCCCTCCTGCTGTGTTCCCTCCAGGAACCTTCTCTCTCATGTGCTTCCATGTCTCTGAGACTTGCATCTGTTGTTCTGGCTGCCTAGAATGAAGACCACCACTCTTAATGAAGTCTTTCCTGGCTCTCTTTTCGTCTCCTAGCCCAAGGTGGAGCAAGCTGACGCCCCTGGGATTCTCCTCTGGAGCTTCTGGGTCTATCTGTTTAGCCTGCACCCCATGTCCTGTGTCCCCCATTAGACCGTGAACCGCTCGAAGGCAGCTCTGCGTTCTAATCCTCTTTGGCCAGCGCACTGAAGCAATCAGCTACCAGTTACTCAGAAGCCGTTACCGGGTGCCAGTACTGTGCCAAGTGCTCTGTGTAAATACTTCATTTAAACCCCATAATGGCCATAGGAGCTCAGCATCATTTTATCTCAGTGTGCAGATGTGGAGGCTGCCTGCCTCTCAGCTAATGGCCCACCACTTAGCACAGCTCCTGGAATATCGTTGGTTCTTAATAAATGTTTGTCAAATGAATAATTGAATGACTCCAACGCACTGACCTATGAGCACCCCCTGAAAACTTCACAGGGCCCATAGGCCCTGCTGTCGCCACTTGTCCTAAGGTCTAGCACAGTTGGTGGCTGCTGCCCTCTCCCCACTCCTCGATTCCCAGGCTGCAGTGATTTCTAGAGCCTGCCTGGGTTTTCCCTGGCCCTGATCCCACTTTCTAGCTCATCAGAGTATGGAGAAAAGTGGTGGAGGTGATGATGGGGTTTCCCGGGGGAGAACCAGGGCCTTGGGGACTGACTGGGAGGGGTGGTTTGGGGGAGACTCACCAACATCAGAAGCCAGGAAGAGGATGGGGAGCAGTAAAGGGGCCCCCAGCCAGACCATACTCCGGAGACTGACCAGGCCAGCCAGGACAAGCTGGGCCCACGGTCAGTTAATCTGGGTCTGGCTGCTCAGCTTATGCCGGTCAGTGTGTGTTGGTGCTAGGGAGGAAAAGGAAGTGACTTAGCTTAGGTAGGAGGGGTGGCAGGCGAGAGGGGCGGGAAGGACTTATCCTGTTTCTAGGCCTCCAGGAGCCCCCGAGTCTGGCCCCTGCAAGGCTGGGGATGGGTGTGGCCTGGAAGCCCCTGGAATGGGGTCACTTGAGGTGGGGGGAGGGTTGTGGTAAGGACAGACCTGGGGGCTATTGGACTGATTTTCCCATCCTCTCTTCTCCCCGTGGTCCTCAGTCTTGCCGGCCAGGCTTGCAGGAGGCAGGAAAGGGAGGAAGCCAGTGGCTTCCGCCTATTGAGGAGGGATGGGGGGAGGATATTGTTCTGGAGTCTCCCCTCCTCCCAGCACATACACACAATAGGGCCCACACAGTTCCTCATGCGTGTGCCCCAGGACACAGCTACATGGGTGTCCTGGAGAGCGGGTCACGTCTGTAACACAGGGATCTTTGTGGGCCCAGGAATGTACACAAACGAACAAAAGAACACTCACTCAGGGCAAAAATGGACCTTCAATTCTATCTTGTGTAACTCTCTCCTTTTACAGATGGGGAAACTGAGGCCTGTGTGCTTGAGGGCCCTCTGAGGTCCTGGCAAGGCTGGGACTTGAACTTCTGACTTAGTTGCTCCTCAAGGGCACACATTAAGCAAACCAAGGGGAACACGCAAGGAGTCTTGCGTTTACAGTCCTGAGCTTAAGCCACTAACAGAGGCTTCTGCTTATGGTGTGCCCAATGTCATTCGTTTTACAGCAAACCCAGACCCATTCCTGGGCACTGGGACAGCAGGCGCCCGCCCAGGCGGTGTACTCACTTTTGAGGGCTGACAACAACCCGGGAGCTGTCCCAGCCCCTTGAAAGCCTCCACAGCCCCATGGATCTTGCCTCTGCTCTGACCTGTCGTCTCTCACTGCCCCACACCGCTGCTCCACCTGGCACCACCACTGGCAGTTCCCAGAACAGAACATGAGCTGCAGGTACAGAATGACCGCTGTTGGGGGTGGGTGGGGGTGTGTCTGTCCTTACAGAGGACATTTGGGCAGCATCTGTTCTTGAAAATGACGCATTCTGGCACAGGTGTTTGCTGTGAATGAAGTCGGAGATTCTGTGACACTGTGGCATGTCCAAAGACTCCAGGCCCATCTGCTCTCCCCGCTTTCAACTGGGAAATAAAACTCAGTAGTAATGATCTGTAGATAAATACAGTGCAAATCTTGCAGAGTTTGTATACAGGGATTTGTATTATAAAACAATGTCCTATAAGTGTAAAAGGATATTTTTATGTGTGTTGAGATGCTGCTGCAAGTAATTGAAATAGCACCTTTTCACAAACAGCAGGTCACAAATGAAATACCACTGCACAAACAAATTTTGAGTGAGTTGTGTATACATCTGCTGTTGCAATCGAAATACTCAATCCGTAATGCATATCTTAACGTCTCAGTCACTGGAAATTCTAGGCCTAAAATAATGTTAATACAAATATGCAGTTGTACACATGGTAAGGTTAACTCTCAAACCCAAAACAAACTAAACTGATAATGACAGAGCGAAACTAATTTATTTAGAAAAGCCCTGGCAAGGATAGCATTACACCCGGCTCCACGTGAGGCTAATTCACTGCTGACAAAGCCGCCTTCCTTCACATAGTGGAATTCCAGCTGTTGGCACGTGGGCATGTACAGGAGTTTTGCCGGTTGCCAGGGGTTTCAGGGCAGCCAGGTTTCCTAGTGGAACACGGAAGTAGACTTTTTTTGTAAACCCTACATGCCAACTTTAGTTTCCAAATGCCAAGTTTTAGTGACCTTGATTTAGAATGTTATTAGTAAATAGCCTGTAGTTGGACATAAAAAGGGAAGGTAATGAAGTTAGTTGTCATTTGCCCATAAGTGGAAAGAGGACTTGTGTTGTTAGGCTGCCCGAGTCCCAGCAGGGCAGCCTCATGCTCCACTGTGGGCTGTGGAGCTAAACGTGTCTGTGTTTGCTCAATGGTGTGACCTGTTTTGAGTGATGCTGAAAATTGTCGTGTATTTTTCATAGCCAACCTGTAGATTTGGGCCTGCTGCTTTTGGACACGTTGTCTGTCTTGGTCCATTTGGGTTGCGATAACAAAGTACTATAGTCTGGATGCCTTATAAGCAACAAACATTTATTTCTCACAGTTCTGGAGGCTAGAAGTCCAAGATCAGGGTGCCAGCATGGTCAGCGGTGCCAGACCTCTTCCAGGTTGCAGGTCCTCACAGGTGGAAGGGGCAAAGGCCTCTTTTATGAAGGTGTTAATCTCATCACATGACCTAATCACCTCCCAAAGGCCCTACCTCCTAACACCATGACACTGGGCATTAGGATTTCAACATATAAATTCTGGGGGGACACAGACATTCAGACCATTGCATAATCCTTCTCTAGGAGCAGGTTAATGAAACCAAGGTGGGGACAGGCCTACAGCTTCCCAGGGATCCACATCTGCATGCAAATGTGTTTTCCAAGCCCCTCCTGTGTGCTCGTGTGAATTCTTTAACACTTCTCTGGTCTGTGAGTTCACTGATCAGGCACTTGGATGTTGCAAATTGCTATGAAAGCTTCTGAATGCTTATTCTCAGTTTACGCCCTCCTCTCTTTGTAACAGCTCTCAGACTAGTCCTGGGCCATCAACCACATTTGGAAGAACTCTAGTCTAATGAGGTAACAGACAAACAGGGTTGGGGAGATGGATGGCTGAAGTCAGAGTCAAGGTCTGAATTTGTTTTGAGAGAGTATTTTTGGGTTATGACAGTCTGTGGTGTGGCTGTGGGAGTGGCAAGGAAATGAAGGCCACAGGAGATGGGGAAGTCAAACAGGGCTTTGAAAGGTCACCCATGAGGATATGTTCCTTTCTTCCCACCATTCAGAATACACTGTGTCTACACAGACACAGGCAGATAAAGACTCTGCCCTTGGCATGTCCAACACAGGCCTTCCTGACTCATGTACCATCTGTGTGTTGTCTGTAACAAGACTTTTAAACTATCTCAGAATGGAATTCTGTCTTTCCTACAGAGTGATTCCAAGCTTTCTTGGGGTGGTGATGGGAAGGACAGACCTCTAAAATGATGGGTTAGGGTGGCGGTGCTGGCCTTCTTTGCCAGGTACGACCAGTGTGTGTCCCACTTGACCCCAAGGTGCTCAGAGGACCCTAGACAACAGGAGACCTGCTGTATTTGCTTATTTGGGGCTTGGACTGCTTTTTTCCATGTTGGACCGTCCCCCATGCCCCATCTTCCATCTGGCCTCTATCATGCTTTTCTGTGAATGGAGGTGGGGGAGGGAGAGGGGGAGGAAGTAGGGGGAGTAGGGAGCAGCAGCCCATGCTGGGTAGTGGGCAGGAGGCCGACCCGGGAGCTTACTCTTAGGGATGAGGGCTGGCTGGCCAAGGCCCCACTTAGTTTGTACTTTAGATGTTAGTGGTCCTGGGAAAAATAGCCCTCTCCCTCATCCTAGGTTTAAATCAAGGGATTGCCTGACCTTTCACTCTGACCCTGTAGAGAAGTCAGGGATGGGGCTGGTGGTGCCTGGCTGGGCTTCCTCACTCCCAGGGCAATGGGGCAATGGCTGGTACCACCTTCAGCCACAGCCCACAGGTTCCTGTGAATCTTGTTCTCTTGAGCTGGAGGGGGAAGTTTTTTTTTTTAATTAAATAGATTTTATATTTTACAATAATTGTAGATGTGCTGAAAAATTGAGAAGATAGTATAGAGAGTTCCCATGTACCCCACCCTGCTTCCTCTATTATTAACTTCTTTTTTTTTTTTTTAAAGATCGGCACCTGGGCTAACAACTGTTGCCAATCTTTTTTTTTCTTTTTTTTTCTGCTTTATCTAGCTGTGGGATGTGGGACGCCGCCTCTACATGGCCTGACGAGTGGTGCCATGTCCGCGCCCAGGATCGGAACCCTGGGCCGCCGCAGCGGAGCGCGTGAACTTAACCACTTGGCCATGGGGCCGGCCCCTATTATTAACTTCTTATGTTAGTATGATAGATTTGCGGTAAGTGATGAACTGGTATTGATACATTGATACATTATTAACTAAAGTCCATGGTTTATTTAGATTTCCTCAGTTTTTCCCTATGTCTTTCTTCTGTCCCAACATCCCATCCTCAACACCACATTACGTTTAGTTGGCGTGTCTCCTTAGGCTCTTCTTGGCATGACAGTTTCTCAGACTTTCCTCATTTTTGATGACCTTGACAGTTTTGAGGAGTACTGGTCAAGTATTTTGTAGCATGCCCCTCTATTGGAATTTGATGTTTTTTTCATGATTAGGTTGAGGCTGTGGGTTTTGGGGAGGAAGACCACAGAGTTAAGTGCCGTTTCCTCACCTCATATCGAGGGGAGATACTAGCAACATGTTTATCACTCTTGATATTCATCTTCATCTCCCAGCTGAGGGAGTGTCTGCCAGGTTTCTCCCCTGTAAAGTTGCAATTTTTCTCCTTCCTTTCCATAACGTCCTCTTTGAAGTCAATATACGCAGCCTGCACTTAAGCAGTGGGGATTTATGCTCCCCCTTCTTGAAAATTTATCTACATAAATTATTCAGAATTCTTCTGAAAGGGAGATTTGTCTCTCTTCTGCTCCACTTATGTATCTAGTCTATCATTTATTTATATCACTGTGGACTTGTGGACGTTTATTTCACACTTTGGGTTACGTTCCAATGCTGCTTTATTTTGTTGCTCACGTGGCTCTAGCTTTGGCCGTTAGGAGCTCTTTCAGTTGGCTCCTGTGTTTCTTTGACAGACTCCTGCCACTGTGGGGTTTTTTGTTTGTTTGTTTGTTCGTTAGCACTTCCTTACTTCCTGGCACCAACAAGATGCTCCAGGCTCATCTTGTTTATTTCCTGTTCCAGTCCCAGAATCTGCCATCTCTTGGAGGAGCCCTGATTTCTTTTATTTGAGAATGACATTAGAAATAAAATCCTGGTGCCAGGTGTGCTCGTTGCTACTGGGGTGTCATTCCTTCCAGGCCTTCTCAGCTGGCAGAGCAAGGAAATGTATGTGCACCTCCTAGCTTGTGTAGATACACATATCTATAAATATTTCCATATTTAATAATTTGTGTTTATATTAAGCTAAACATGCATTCATAAGGATGTCTCCAACTCTAATCCATTACCACATGGGTCAGGGGCCGTGCTTTTTATCTGAGAACCACCCCTTTCTCCCACCAGACACACATAACATTCATTCCTATTGTTTGATTTTTTTTCCTTTTTCTCCCCAAAGCCCCCCAGTACATAGTTGTATATTCTTCGTTGTGGGTCCTTCTAGTCGTGGCATGTGGGATGCTGCCTCAGTGTGGTCTGATGAGCAGTGCCATGTCCGTGCCCAGGATTCGAACCAACGAAACACTGGGCCGCCTGCAGCAGAGCGCACGAACTTAACCACTCGGCCACGGGGCCAGCCCCTATTGTTTGATTTTTTAAAAGCATATTTTCAGAAATGAATCACATCCAATAGTGAGAGCTTATCCATAATTAGGACTAAGTGTACTTTATGAAAATGATAAAAGGTTAACACATGATTATCAGCAAATTCATCTCAAATATTAGATTTCGCAAAAGACTACTTGGAAAAAAAAAAGTTTTCTCCTGGTGTGAATAGCCAGGAAAACTCTGAAATAGAAGCTCAATGAAGGGTGTATCAGAAAGTAAAATGTGGCAGATGATATTTTCCCAAATTGGCCACAAGATTATCTTCCATTCCACGTGTTTTCCTTACAAAGTGATCTTGACATTTGTCTCCCTGAGAGGTGGGATCATGTATCCTCTTCTTAGATTTGGATGAGATTGACTCGCTTGTATTCAAACCACAGCAGAGAACACGATACTGCACCGGAAGAGTGAGGCAGCTTCTAGTTTGTTCTTGGAAGCACTTGCACAGTGACTCTGAGCTGCCATGTAGACAGTGTGACTTCTCTGAAGCCGCCATCCTGTGAGGAAGCTCAAACTAGCCCATGCAGAGAGCCCACACCTTGAGAAAGAGATGCCCGGCCAGCCCCTGCTTGCTCCAGCTCCTCCCCTCTGACACTGTTCCAGTTCTGGTTACTATCTGACAACAAAGAATGAGCTGGAACCACCCAGCCAAGACTTCCCGGAGTTCCTGATTTATAGAGTCTGTGGAAGATGATAAAACAATTGTTGTTTTAAGTGATTAAGTTTTGGGGTGATTTATTTCATAGCAATATTTGTCAGAACATCAAAACATACTATATATAAAGTTTCAATAATTAAAACAATATAGTACCAGCACACAAATAGACCAATAGAAGAGAAAATCCAAAAATGGACCCAAATACATAAAGAATTTAGCATACATAAAAAGTGGCATCTCAAGTCAGTTGGTCTTTTTAATAAATGGTGTTGCAACAACTGGGTACCTATCTCCAAAAAATAAAGTTGGATCTATACTTTACATCATATATCAAAATAAACTCCAAATGGACCAAAGATTTAAACATAAAAAATCAAACCTATGAAAGAACTAGAAGAACACGTGGATGAATTCCCTCATAACTGTGGATTGGGTAAGGTTTCTAACTAAGCCTCAAAATCCATAGACTTTAAACGAAAAGATTAATCAAATTTACTACATATAAAAATCCTTACCTAACATATGATCTATCTTGGAAAATGTTCCATGTGCACTTGAGAAGAATGTGTATTCTGTTGCTTTTGGATGGAATGTTCTATAAATATCCGTTAAGTCCATCTGGTCTGATGTGTCATTTGAGGCCAATATTTCCTTGCTGGTTTTCTGTCTGGGTGATCTATCCATTGATGTAAGTAGAGTATTCAAGTCCCCTGCTATTATTGTATTGTTGTCTATTTCTCCCTTTAGGTCTGTTAATAATTGCTTTATATATTTGGGTGCTCCTATGTTGGGTGAATAATATTTACAAATGTTTCATTCTCTTTTGGATTGACCCCTTTATTGTCATGTAACACCCTTCTTTGTCTCTTATCACAGTCTTTCTTTTAAAGTTAATTTGTCTGATATAAATATAGCTACTCCAGTTCTGTTTTGGTTTCGATTTGCATGGAATATCTTTTTCCATCCTTTCACTTTCAGTCTGTGTGTGTCCTTACATCTAAGTGAGTCTCTTGTAGGCAAGTCTTAATAAATTTAATAGGATTGAAATCACATCAGGCATCTTTTCTGACCACAATGCTATAAAACTAAAAATTAATTACGTGAATAAAACTGGAAAATTCACAAATATGTGGAGACTGAAGAATATGCCACTGAATAACCAATGGGTCAAAGAAGAAATCAAACGAGAAATAAAAAATCTTGAGACAAATAAAAATGGAAATGTAACATACCAAAATTTATAAATGAGATGCAGCAAAGGCAGTTCCAAGAGGAAAGTACATAACAATAAATGCCTACCTCAAGAAACAAGAAAAGTCTCAAATAAGCAACCTAACTTTATACTTTAGGAACTATAAAAAGAACAAATGAAGCCCGAAGTTAGTAGGAGGAGGGAAATAACGAAGAGTAGAGCAGAAATAAAGGAAACAGACACTAAAAAGACAATATAAAAGATCAATGAAACTAAGAGTCGATTCTTTGAAATCAAAATTGACAAACCTTTAGCTAGATTCATTCAGAAAACGGGAGAAAGAGAACTCAAATAAATAGAGTCAGAAATGAAAGAAGAGACATTACAGCTGATAACACAGAAATACAAAATATCATAAGAGACTACTGTGAACAATTATCTGCCAACAAATTGGACAACTTAGAAGAAATGGATAAACTCCTAGAAACATACAACCTACCAAGACTGAATCATGATGAAACAGAAAATCTGAACAGACAGATTACTAGTAAGGAGATTGAATCAGTAATCAAAAACCTCCCAACAAACAAAAGTCCAGGACCAGATGGCTTCCCTGGTGAATTCAAAGAAGATTTAATACGTATCCTCAAACTTCCAAAAAATAGAAGAAGGGGAAACTCTTCCAAACTCATTTTATGATGCCAGCATTACCCTGATATCAAACCCAGACAAGGATGCCACAAGAAAAGAAAATTACAGGCCAATATCCCTGATGAGCATAGATGCAAAAATCCTCAAAAAAAATATTAGCAAACCAAATCCAACAATACATCAAAAGGACCACAATCAAGTGGGATTTATTCCAGGGATGCAAGGATGGTTCAACATCTGCAAATCAGTCAATGTGATACACCACATTAACAAAATGAAGGATAAAAATCATATGATCATCTCAGTAGATACAGAAAATGCATTTGACAAAATTCAACATTCATTTTTGACAAAAACTCTCAAGGAAGTGGGTATAGAGGGGACATACCTCAACATAATAAAAGCCATATATGACAAGCCCATAGCTAACATCATACTCAATGGTGAAAAACTGAAGCTTTTCCTCTAAGATCAAGAACAAGACAATGATCCCCACTCTTGCCACTCTTTTTTTTTTTCCTTTTTCTCCCAAAGCCCACCCCAGTACATAGTTGTGTATTTTTAGTTGTGGGTCCTTTTAGTTGTCGCATGTGGGATGCTGCCTCAGCATGGCCTGATGAGTGGTGCCATGTCGGCGCCCAGGATCCAAACTGGTGAAACCCTGGGCCACCGAAGTGGAGCGCACGAACTTAACCACTCAGCCATGGGGCTGGCCCCTCTTGCCACTGTTATTCAACATAGTATTGGAAGTCCTAGCTAGAGCAGTTAAGCAAGAAAAAGAAAGAAAAGGCATCCAAATTGGAAAGGAAGAAGTAAAACTGTCGCTATTTTTAGATGACATGATATTTTATATAGAAAACCCTAAAGAATCCATCAAAAAACTGTTAGAACTAATAAACAAATTCAGTAACATTGCAGGATACAAAATCAGTACTCAAAAATCACTTGTGTTTCTATACACTAATAACAAAATATCAGAAAGAGAAATTTTTAAAAATCCCATTTACGACTGCATCAAAAATAATAGAATACTTAGCAACAAATTTAACCAAGGAGGTGAAAGACCTGTATATGTGAAACTATAAGACATTAATGAAAAAAATTGAAGAAGACACAAATAAATGGACATACATTCCATGTTAATGGATTGGAAGAATTAATCTTGTTAAAATGTCCATACTACCCAAAACAGTATACAGATTCAATGCAATCTCTATCAAAATTCCAATGGCATTTTTCACAGAAATAGAACAAACAATCCTAAAGCTTATATGGAACCACAAAAGACCCCAAATAGCCAAAGCAATCTTGAGACAGAAGAACAAAGCTGGAGGCATCATGCTCCCTGATTTCAAACTATATTACAAAGCTATAGTAATTAAAACAATATAGTATTGGCATAAAAACAGACACAAAGATCAATGAAACAGAATAGAAACTCTGGAAATAAACCCACACATATATGGTCAATTAATTTACAACAAAGAAGCCAAGAACATACAACAAATGTTGTTGGGAAAACTGGACAGCCACATGTAAAAGAATGAAACTTGACCACAACCTTACACCATACACAAAAATTAACTCAAAATGGATTAAAGACTTGAATGTAAGACCTGAAACCTTAAAACTCCTAGAAGAAAACATAGGCAGTAACCTCCTTGACATCGGTCTTGGCGATGATTTTTTGAATCTGACACCAAAAGTAAAAGCAACAAAAGCAAAAATAAACAAGTGGGACTACATCAAACTAAAAGGCTCTGCACAGCAAAGGAAACCATCAACAAAATGAAAAGGCAACCTATTGAATGGGAGAAAATATTTGCAAGTTATGTATCTGATAAGGGGCTAATATCCAACATATATAAAGAACTCATACAACTCAAGAGCAAAAACACCCAAACAATCCAATTCAAAATGGGCAGAAGATCTGAATAGATATTTTTCCAAAGAATACATACAGGTATCTGAAAACGTACTTGAAAAGATGCTCAACATCGTTAATTGTCAGGGAAATGCAAATCAACACCACAACGAGATAACATCTCACACCTGTTTGAGTGGGTGTTCTCACAAAGACAAGAAGTAACAAGGCTTGGCGAGGATGTGGAGAAAAGTGAACCCTCTCGCATTGTTGGTGGGAATGTAAATTGGTGCAGCCACTATGGAAAATAGTATTGAGGTTCCTAAAAAAATTAAAGTAGAAGTACCATATGATCCAGCATATATCCACTTCTGGGTATTTATCTGAAGAAAATAAAAACTAACTCAAAAAGACATTTGCATCCCCATGTTCATTGCAGCATTTACAATATGAAAACCTTTATGGAACCTAAGCATCCATTGATGGATGAATGGATAAAGAAGATGTTGTATATATACACAATGGAATATTATTCAGCCATAAAAAGAATGAAATCTTGCCATTTGCAACAATACAGATGGACCTCGAGGGCATTATGTTAAGTGAAATAGGTCAGACAAAGACAAATACAATATGCTCTCTCTTATATGGGGAATCTTAAAAAAAAAAAAAAACCCAAAACAAGCTTATAGATACAGAGAACAGATTGGTGGTTGCCAGAGGTGGGGCGTTGGGGTGGGAGAAATGCGTGAACTGTCTTTTAGGGTTTTTTTAGTTCAAATAAATTGAAAAAAATTTGGAAAAAAAAGCCCTGAAAGTCAAAAATAGGAGACAAATGTCAAAAATATTTGAAACTCATATTACAGATTAAAAATTGATGAAATCACACAAAACTCATTAGATAAATGGACAAAGATTATGAAAAAAACGCATTAGGGGCTGGCCCGGTGGCGGAGAGGTTAGGTTCACACGTTCCGCATCTCAGCGGCCTGGGGTTCACTGGTTCGGATCCCGGGTGAGGACATGGCACGGCTTGGCACGCAATGCTGTGGTAGGCGTCCCACACATAAAGTAGAGAAAGATGGGCACGGATGTTAGCTCAGGGTCAGGCTTCCTCAGCAAAAACAGGAGGACTGGCAGTAGTTAGCTCAGGGCTAATCTTCCTCAAAAAAAAAAAAGAAAAAGAAAAAAACGCATTAACACAATTTTGTGATTATGTAAAGTTTATAGAAAAGGAAATATAAATGGCCCTTTAACATGAAAATATGCTCAACCTCACTTGTAGTAAGAGTCATATAAAATAAGATTCTTTCTAACTACCATTTTCACCAATCAATTTGGCAAGAATCCACAAGTTTTGCAATATAATCTTGATGAGGCAGTGGGAAACAGGCAAGCTCTCCTATTAAGCATGTTGGTATAACTCCCATGGAGGGCAGTTTGGGAATATCTGTCAAAATCACCAATATATTTCCTCTTTGACTCACAATTGCATTTTTGGGAATTTGTCCTACAAATATACCTGCACAGTACAAACTGTACGTGGCTATTCATTATAGCACTATACGTGATGGCAGAAGACGGGAAACAGCCCGTGTCAATCAACACGGGACTGGTTAAATAAATTTTGATGTAGCTATATGGTGGAATATTATGCAGCTGTAAAAATGGTTGAAGAAACTCTCTAAGTCTGATAACTGATTTTGAAAAGGTCTCCAAGACACACTAATTAGTAAGTGTAAAAAACATGATGCAAAACAGTATGTATAGTATGTTGGCTTTTGCCTAAGAAAGGAGAAAATAAGAATATGTAGTCATACTGCTTGTATTTGCATAAGAAACTGGGAAGATGCACCAGAAATTAATAAAAGTAATTAGTTGGGGTGAGAGAAATAAGGTGCATAGGAGCAGAAGAGAACTTTCATGGTGTATCTTTTGTATTTTTCTGATCTCTGACCCATATTCTCTATTTGAGAATAAAGTAATTTGGAATAAAGGTAATCCAGCTCTTCATATTTATTTCCTTCA